AAAAAAAAAAAAAAAAAAAAAAAAGATTCTTTTGGATAATCACCCAGAAATCTATGAGTTATTTTAAATATAACTAAAAAGAGAAATTAAAATTAAACACTTTACCATAGCCTTCCTTTCCATATGCAAATGAAGGGGGTATAATCACTTTTCGCTTTTCTCCAGGGCACATATCCATCATAGCAACCTCTAGGCCTTTTATGACTTGGCCAACACCAAGAACAAACCATTTGGGGTGGCCTTCATTTTCTGTCCGGCTATAATAAAAAAAAACAATACTTAGGTAAGCTGATTTCAAGAAATCAAACTTTAAAACACAGCTGGGCATTTAGTGATAATATAAAGTTGGAGTCCTTTCCAACCATCTTTTTTCCCATATTAGCAGTCTTTGTGAACGCCCTGGTGGGATGTTTGGCTCAAACTTCCCTATAATTGCCAGAAAGAGGTATGATTTGCCCAAAGCTAGTCATTAGGAGTCATCTCATTTTCTTTTTTACTGTCATCTTTACAAAAACTGTTCAACAGTTAACTTTTTAATGAGTCGCTAGCCCCTAACTAGCTGCCTGGCATGTACCAATAACTCACTTCTCCGGGATTGTTCTAAAAAATTATGGGGCAGGTTTTGTCTCAAAAAGTCATTTTAATGGTAATTTAAAATTGTATCTTCTTAAATGTGTCTATTTTCTTCTAAATGGGAAGAACTAACTTTCCCCAATCCTATCTTTACAGGGTAATAATAGCACAGATGAAGACATTCTCCCTCTGAATAAACCATCAATTAAATAACAGTGGGCAGCCTGTGGGATGAGAGAGCAGTCTAGAGGTCACAGGTCCAGCAGAAGTCACAAGGAAAGTTGCTGTTGTAGTGGCTTTTTGATCCAGTTAGAAAGTGGCCCCCAACGTGTAAAAATCGTGCTTCAGAGGCCAATATAAAATCTCTTTAATTATCCTATGCAATCCTTTAATTATTCTATAGACTCCAACTCTTGGCAAAGGAAAAGTGTGAACATCCTACAGGTAGTACCTTGATTCAGGTCTAGAGGTCCCAGGAATAGTGGTGATGGGGGTATGTGTGGATGTAGCATACTTCTGGTAAATTCTGGGGCCAATACTTTCAACAATTTAAAAACTAATCCTCAGTTGATTAGGGAACTATTGCCATCTAATCTGAGTTTTTTCCTATGAGTAAAAGGCTCAACTCTTACAGTGAAACAAAAACCCAAAGCTACAAACAAAACCACCAGCCAGTTAGGCTTCCGGTTGGTGGAGGGAGGCAAGATTTCAGCATCAACTGGAGGCGGGAGCACTTCGCACCATTTCCTACCTGCAGTAGAATTTCGAGCCGTCTTCAGCCAAGTAGCCATCGTAATGGGCATTTAGCAGGTCTCCCTTCTTGCTTGTCTTAGAGCAGTTTTCCGGACGATGCAAAACTTCTATTTTCACTTCCTCTGTGCTCTCCTCTTCCTTTTGTGTCTGAGCAGCAAAAAGGCCCCACAGGTAAAAGAAAACGACTAATCTGAATAAGAACTGCATGGCTCCCTGAGTCTGCCCCAAAGAATCACCGGGCTCCCTCGGGCGTGCCGCTCGCGCTGGTGGCCTGCCCTGCAGCCGAGTTCCGACGCGTGGCAGACATTGTCCAACGTCACAAAGGGCCGGGGCGGGGCTATGCGCGGCCTCGCCCCCTCCCCCTCCAGCGGCGCTCGCCGCGGCGTTTTTGCCAGTCTGCGGTCCGGCGTGTGTCCGTCTGGTACTGGGCGCTAAGGTAGCACAGCACACTCGCACCGCTTCTCCTCGCCTGGTCCGTGTATTTTACAGCCGGTGTCCTCAGGGTTCGGTAGTAACGCTCGCCTTTCCTAAAATGAAACTGGTAAAAGACAAGATAAAAAGCCTGGGGCGGCGTGTCTTAAGAGTAAGAGAATGTGGTTGTCATTTCTGGGCACCAAACACTCCTCCGAAGGCCCTTAGGGAACTAGCGGATTTTGGGGGGGCATTCTGGACGAGCGTAAAAAATAGGTGTGCAGTGGTTTTTTTGGGTGCTTCTGGGATGTCCTTGCAGCTCTTTCTCGGGGTCGGAGTCCTGCATTAAGGGGTTCCAGGCTGAGTCACACACAACCCGACGGTCACCGGACGCCGCTCCCACGCCCGGCTATAGCGTTTCCACGAGCCAACTTCAGCGATTCCGGACCTGCTCCCGCCTTGCGTTTCTTTCCCCCACCACTTGGCGGGGTGGAAGAGGGATCTGATTTGATCTGAAGGTCTCTTAGTAGTGCCGGGAATGCTCCTGAGGTTGTTTTTCTTACCCGGTGATTTCCGTAATTATCCACATCAGACGAGGAAACTAGTATTGGGCATTTTGTTCCAATCTCGCAGCTAATACGCAGCCTGGACGAGGCTAAATCTGATACAACCTCCAACCACCCCCATTTTAGTACGAAAACCTTTCAAACATACAGAAAAGTCGAATTTTACAGTGAACACCCTTATGCACACCACCTAGATTCTATCATTAACGTTGAACTATATTCGATTTATTACATATTCATTGAACCATCTCTCTACCCATCAAATCACCTTATTACTTTTTGGCGGCCGGCCAGTACAGGTTTCGAACCCTGGATCTTGGTGTTATCAGCACCATGCTCTAACCAACTGAGCTAACCGGCCATAACTCACTTTATTTCGAAGTGAATGCCCAAAGACTTTACCCAAACCAGAAAACCTTCAGCAAAGGCCTGGCTTACGTTCTGGGAGCAAAGGTCTTATTCTACCTCAGTGATGCTAAGAAAAGCCGCGGGACTGGGCCTGCCTTATCTGCTGTGCTTAAAGTTTGCAAAATTCCGTAAATATGAAAATTACTCTCAATTACATAAGATGACGATCACTTCCAAGCAGGATTTTCAAAAATTATAAAAGCTAGGGGAAAGCCCCCATTTTTAGAATAACACTCCTAAATTTACTTCCATGTTTCATATTCTAAATATAATTGGGGCCATACAAGGTTAATTATTGGCGTCATGACAGTTCCTTGGGGTCCCTTGCAGTTTCTTGCAGAAGGACCCCGTCATCTGCACACTGCCTTCCTAGAAGATAATTTCTCGGACCCCTTGAGTGTAAGGAAGATAAGAAGGAAACAGAAATAAGAAGCCTTTCATTTTCTCGAAGACAAAAACAACCGACCTGAGGCTTTGCTATAGGAAAACCCGAAAGGCCTAAGTCACTGCCCTCGGGACGAGTGCGCGGGAGCTCGTCCCGGGGTTGGCCAGAGGACTGCGCGCGCTGCTGGCCTCAGCCCCGGGGGGAGACGGGAGCCCCGACCCGCCTGCTGAGGGCCGGAGGAAAGAGGAGTTGGGCGGTGCCGGGCCGGAGGGCTTGGAAGCGCCGCGCCGGCGCGCCCGTCCCCTTCGCGCAGCCTCCGG